GTCTGCACAGCAGGTTGTGAAACGATGGAGGGAGATTGGCTTGCATGATCGGCCTAGCAAACTCGGTACTGGTAGGTATTCCGCTTTAGTACGCGGGCTAACTAACATCACTTTGTGGTCAGTGTATACACGCGGACACCTCTTTTCCACATTCCGCGTATCCATCCGCGATTTTCTTCAACTCGACAACTTCTTTTACCATCTTAAATGATCCGAGAAGTTTAGTGACTACAATTTCTCCCGGCGAAAGCTTCTGCTCAGTTATTGTTAAACAAAGTCAGTGGAAATATAATTCGATTACGCATTATTACAGGATAAAATGTTACACTCGATCGAGTGAAAAATAACTGCCATGTCAAACATAGAATAATTACGAAACGGTAATTAAATAATAAGAAGGGTAGAAATATATAAGTCGAGTGACACTCGTTAACAACGATAGTGATAGAAAACGTATATTAGATTGCTATTCAAGTCGATTGACATACATTTAAAAAAAAAACTGTAGTCATTTTCTACTTGACCTAGTAATGAATACGATTGAGAGTTATTTTTTATAACTTTAGAATTTTTTATAACTTAATCAACAAATAGAAAGTAACTTGCTACTACATTAATCGTTATATTTTAATCGTTATTATTAATGTGTAATCGGATTATATTTTGTTCAACGCAAATATAAAATAAATTTTGAAACTTTCGTGACGCTTCTGGCATAAAAACAGAATTGTGCTTGTATTTGTTAGAGATAGAGGATACTTACTGTTAGCGCATCAATAATCTAACCGCTGCTAAGCAGTTTTTGCAAACCAAGTGAATTTGTGTATGTACACGACAAGAAGTGAAACTTTTCTCCGGGAAAGATTTCAAACAGGCTTTGATGTGTTATTGACTTCGTGACACAACGATATTTCTTCGTTGCATCTACACGTGAGATTTAATGAGCGGTGTTACGATTGTCAACGGGAAGTTAAACGAACGGCAAGTAAATCAACGGCGGTGTTACGTTTGAATATGTCAACCACTATTTCGAAGATATTGGGCGGAAATGTCGCGAATGGGACCAATTCGATTTGCGAAAATTCTCGTGTAAGTATAGTGAAAAACAACATTATAATATGAAAGAATTTATCCTGTTGTGAATACCTATTGAATTATGGAACAACGTTTATTTTAGATTTTTTCGAATTCATTGAAGTTAAAACTTATTATTAATCCCTTAAAGTGAAAAGTTATAAATATTATTGCACTGTGGACTTCATATACTCTGGTTGAACATTATTAATAAAGTCATATTTAAAATAACGATTTTATTAAACATGATTATATTAGAATGACTAAATAAACTTTGTTAAAATACGTCTTACTTATTTAGTTTAATAATCAACAATCATTTATAATATTGTTTCATCACGAGACAAACTCCATATTGAAAAAAGGAAAAAAATTTGTACAACACAACATTTTTAGGCTTACAATTAGAGAGTTATTAAT